AGCCTCCTGGAGGTGTCGTGGGACCAACCTGCATATATGTTCTATAGACCAGGCATTTTTCTGCAGCTGCTGAGGCTCTACAGAGGCACACACGTCTGCATCTCCCAGCTGTGAGGTCGTTCTGTCATTACGTGACAGCCTCTTAGCGAGATCTGCTGTGATGCTGGCGACAGCAACAGGTGTGTCTCAATGAGCATAAGTTTCACAAGGCTTTGCTCAGCAGAGGCAACTGACTGTAAAGACTTAAAATCAAGCTGCTGCTGCTGCACTGTACGCACTCAAACCTCTGGCAGCGCAGCTCAAACTGCATTGTGTCTGAGGGAGTTAATGCAATACATATGCCTATGACTGATGATAATCATATTGGGCTGTTTCAGTGGCCCTCCTGCACTGGTGCCCAAAGCACAGCTTGTGATGCACATGCCCGTAATGGCTGTGATGATCAAAGCAGTCCCTCCAGGATTTTGCAGCCTGTTTTTGGGATTGTTGAGATCTGATTTCATGTCATCTTTTCTGAAAAACTTGTGATGTATGTTGCTATGTTTATAGTTTCTTTTTTTTGTAATGAAATTGCAAGGGCAAGTGAAATTTGAAACATATTTATGATGCCGTCAAAGACAAATAAGACCTTATATTTGTAAAAAAAAAAAAAAAAAAATAGTGCTCAGCATAGATGAGGACACTCCAAAAGATTTGTCAGAAAACCTTTAGTTTCCTTTCAGAATCAACATTTTCGATGGGATACTATACTACAAAATACTCCCGCAAATGTGGGCCATTGATTGCAAACCAGATTTGTTCATTTGTACACACAAAAAAAGTAATTTTCCAAACAAATTCATTCAAAACCATGTTGCAAAAATGAGTTCACCCCAATGAAACTCTTCTGAGCAAAGCTAAAGTTTAGACTACAAAATTCTAATTAGCAAGAATTCAACCACAGGTGAGTCTATTAAACAGGTGTCCAGCAGACAGTTGGCTATAAAAGGGCGTTACTTATTAAAGAAAACCCCTCCCCGTTTCATGCTGTCAGCGATGGCACCACGTGGAAGGAAAATGTCACAAGACCTGAGAAAGAATATCATTTCTTTACACAAGAAAGGTGAAGACTACAAGAGGATCAGCAAACTTTACTTATCAGTCAGGATACTGTAGCAAAAGTGATACAAAACTTTAACAAAGATGCGGCTGCAACCATCTCACAGAGACGTCCAGGCCGTCCACGGAGGTTAACACCTAAACAGGAGCGTCTTCTGATTAGAAGGGTTGAAGAAAATTGCCATGCAAGTTCACTGCAGTGAGCTAAAGAAGTAGAAAGCCAAACTGAGGCGACTGTTTCCTGTGACACAATACGGCGTACACTGCAGAGGAATGGCATGCATGTGTCGTCCACGAAGAAAGCCCATGCACACAAAAGCCCACCTAGCAAAAGATTAAGAAGACTACTGGGACTCTATACTCTGAAGCAATGACACTAAGATAAATGTTTTTGGAACTGATGGCTTCCAAACTGTATGACATCGCAAAGGTGAGGAGTACAAAGAAAAATGCGTGGTGCCTTCAGTGAAACATGGTGGTGGGAGTGTCCTTATGCGGGGCTGCATTTCATTGATGGTATCATGAATTCACAGATGTACTGCTCTATACTGAAAGAGAAGATGCGACCATCACTCTGTGCCCTTTGTTGTTGTGCAGTTTTCTAACATGACAGTGATCCAAAACACACATCTAAGGCCACTGTTGCATTTCTGAAGGACAGGATGAAAGTGATTTGGTGGCCGAGTGTGGCTCCTGATCTGAACCCAGTCGAAAACCTATGGGGAATTCTGAAGAGACAAGTTAAGCATCACTCTCCATCCAGCATCCAGACTCTGAAAGAGGTCATTCTTGAAGAATGGAAAAAGATAGATGTTGCAGTATGTCGCCACCATGTTCATTGCATGCCTAGAGGACATGCTGCTGTCCTTAAAAATCATACAAAATACTAGATGTAGTCGTTTTTGTTGTGGGGTCTATTCATTTTTGCAAGATTTCGTAATCTAAGTTATATTATTAACCTTCCTTTCATGTTATGAGTTAAACAAATGTTCTATAAAACTCAGTCTCGTCTAAAATCATTGATGAAAATCTTACTTTTCAAAGGGGGTGTACTCATCTATGCTGAGCACTGTATGTAAAAAATGTTCATTAAGTGTTGTGTTGGAAACATTGAAGCCGTGGGAGGGGAAACAGGACAAACACACGTTCACAGCTTGAACATGAAACATAAGCAGCAGCAGTTATTGCCATGAAACTGAGGTAAACATTTATTGCAGTGAAGTTTCACACACAGCAGCTCAACATCAGTTTCAACATTTCTTTTTTTGTTTGTAATATTTGTTGACGCACAGAAGAGTTACTGCTTTATTCTTGTCTTACACTGAAGTTCACCTTTAACATGTTTCCTCCAGTGAACCAGCAAACTGTTTATGATCACTGAGGAAAGGAGAAGTCGCTCTCTGCAGCGGGAAGTAAAAGGACAATAAACAGGCTCATGTCCAAATATGGAAATCCAGGTCCCGTCCTACTGTCAGGCCGATGAGTCAAATGAATGAGGAGTGCAATGACGTCTGCTAATGGCATAATTTCTTCATTAGCTCAGAAGACCAGGTGATCCAAACCTGTTGCAACATTTATCACAACTCTCTGTTTATTTGGTGTCTTTCTGTGAGATTCATTTCACTTCATGGAAAAGTTAAAGCTGCTTGAACTAAATGTTTTGATACGTGGAATTCGAATAAATAAATGTGTAACAGAATAAAAACACTGAATATTAAATGATGTGTCAGGGTCAGTGTTATGTGTCTGATGGTTTCAGGCTGAAGCAAGTATAGAACAAAAGCAGACCATTAGTTAGCCGGTTGCTGTGTGTTTTATAGCTTGCTTTATGGCCGGGGACAGTTAATGTTTGATCATCATGAGAGTCCAAAGTCTTCACACTCTGTCTGTCCTCTCTTTCTCGAGTGAAGCAGTCAGGCGGAGACACAGAAACATTATCAGAATCAGAGACCAGAAAAGGTTGAATTAAATATAACATCCCTACAGATCCACATCTGCTTTTTCATAACAACCTATGACAGTGCACGCTTTGGCAATTAAAGGAAAAATCCACCTTTAAAAGTTCTGTAACTGTCCAGTATGAAAGCTTTGACTCAGCTCTCACACTGCTGGAGAAAAGTTTAGATAATCGAAAGGGGAAATTAAGATTTTTTAAAGTGGGGTTGTGTAAGGGGATTATCAGTCATAGTATTACCTACAGCAGATGGTGGTCGACTCGTCCCTACTTAGCAGGAGAACTAACACAGTAGCTGAGCAATCGACCTGTTCTCACACCGGAGTTGTTGAAAACTGCTTCTTGGTCAGTGACTTGTGGCGTCAGGCATGATACACAGCTGGTAGCTGTTATGTTTAACAGCACCCAGCGACGTCAGGAGGAAATGTGGTGGGACAACAACAAAAGTACAGGTGTTAGAAGACAGACTAGGGTGGGTACGAGGGGTGGTGGATGCATCCAACATCCACCAGAAGGCCAGTGTTTGCTTCTTGTCAGATTGTAAAGCCAAACTCTGTCCTTTGTTTCCCAAACCCAACCATGTGTGTGTTGTTGAATGAAAAAAAACATCAATCATGGTGCTGTACCAACATAGTGCTTTTATTTTGAAAGAAACTGTATGCAAACTACATTTCCTGTGAAAACAGAAGTGTATTTTGAAAACAGACAATGCATGTAACAGGCTGAAGTTGACACGGCGTCCCAGAACGTCAACAACCAACACACCCAGGGTACCTTGGACGTCACATGTGGACGTGGAAAGTCCATGACCAAACGTGGACATGTTACAAGGTCGGAGAATATTGTTGACATTCTGGGATGCCGTGTCAAGTTCTGTCTGTTAAATGCAATATTTGGCTTACGTTCATACAGGAAGTGGACACTGGGTGAAAGTCGGTGGTTGCTGGACCCATCCGTCACCCCTCCCACACGCCCTACTTGAACTTTTGCCCCCTTAACTTCCATTGTTGTCTGGCTGCGTTTCCTCCTCACCTATTACAGAATAACAGCGACCAGCCAGGTATCATATTGACACGAATGGACGGCTTTTTCGTTGGCGTCTGATGCCGGAAGTCACTGACCAAGTGCTGATATTTGACAACTTCAGAATTAGACAGTGGTTTGCTTGTACACAAACCAACTCTTCGCAGATTATAGGGCTGGTGTAGAGATGCATGGCCAAAAGAAAAGCTCACATTTCTGGTCGTAAAGTCAAACACACTGACTTTTAAAGATTATGAAAAACTTGGATATCAACAGGTTTTTGGATAAGCACCAACACTGCAACGCCGAGCTTTACAAGGAGGTGGTTGAAGCCACCGGTGGAAAAGCAGAGTTTATCAGAGTGTGTAAACAGGAATATTAGTGGAATATTATTTTTTGCTAGCCATGTAAACAGCTTAGCAGGAATATTGTCTGTTGTCATTCAGCAGTGCAATCAATGAGGTGTCATCTGCAAATTTAACAATGCTGCTACTGTGATATTTGGCAACATACCAGTGAATGTCACTTTGGGGTGTGACTGCTTCATAATTCTGCCTTTTTGATAATATTCTTCAAAGAGTTGGCCCCCAGAAGAGACCAGGATTATGACTGGAATCAAAAGGAGTCAAACAGAAACCATTTTCTGGCTTGTGCACAACAAAAAAGGGTGTCTGTGCTATTGAGTCAACAAGAGGTTAAACAAAGACATCACTGCAGAGCTCTAATTGAAGATTCAGCTGCACATACCAGCAGCTCTATCGGCCCTAAAGAGCTCATCAGGTGTTATGAGTTAAACCCATAAATTGCAGCTGACAGCTGATGCCCCGAGGCCGCTGACAACAAGTCGAACCGGCTCTGCGGCTCAGAATCCAGCCTCAGCATCCCGACACACCAGTTTTTCTGTACAGATCCGGGGCAGATCACAGGGACGCTCACACAGCTTCTGCTTTTTGGACATCTTGAACACTGCGAGGTGAAGTAAACACTGACAGAAACCAGACTCTGAATCATGTGGATCTAAAACGGAAAGACAAACTGGAATATTATCGTCCTCTGCACAGTGGATTTAAGGCTTTATTCACCTCTCAGATGAGCTGAAGGACGGATCCAGAAACATACACTGCATGAAAGACAAAAGGAGTACTCAGTTTTTTTTGAGGGATATTTCTGGACAGTAATCTGGATTATATGTTGTACTCTGCATTAGTTTATATGCAGGTCACTGGTTGGATTTGGACATGTTGGACTTGACGTGACCAGAGTCTTTCCCTCCTTTTGGTTCTGGAGACAAACTCTCCGGTCATGAGATGCACCGTGAGCCTGCTGATGATGACGATGGTCCTGCTGGACTTTACAAACTGTGAGTTCACTTTCACACTCAGCTGATAGAGATTTTCAGAAAAGATTCAGATCAGGTGAAGACATGAGTTAACCCCACAAAATAATAAAAAATAAAATGTATACTTGTATGGATTTTTGGTTGGGTGTGTTGCATCAGTCAGCTAACACCTTGGCCTGAGTTCACCTGCAGAGACATTCACATGTGTCTTTCCTAAAGTTCAGAGTTGTAAAGAAAAAGTTTGACATTTTATTTTTCTCTGAGAGTTGCAGTGATACCACCCTCATGTCTCCACACAGGATAAATGCCGGGATAAATGTTGGCATGTGTTTCCCTGTAAACTACGGATACAATTGTACATTTCATTTGAGGTGGATCTGTTTAAATGTTGTTAAATGTTTCTTTACGTTTCAATTTTCATTTTAATATTGTGACAACACTGTGGCCAATGTGTAGTTTGGTTTTGGTACAGTTTGGAAAATAATACTGGGTTACTGTCACCACGACCTCAGCTGGAATCTGTCACGACATGTCTCGACTCTCACCTAGGTCTCACACCATCCACCGTCCCCTCCACCTCCTGATGGGAAGTTAAAGCTCATATACTCCAGTCAGCCAAATTATTAGAACCTCTAGCAGGTGGAGTGAACAATGATCATCTTGTTACAGTGCAGTGTTCTGCTGGAAAACATTTGGTCCTGGGACTTGTTGGTACCCCAGAGGAACTCTGATAAACAGCGGGGCCTGCTTGGATCAGACTTGGCTCTGACCTGTTGAACAGGGGTGTAAATATAGACAGTGAAGGCAGTGCGGTTGCACCGAGGCCAGTGGGGGTGGGTCATTTGGCGAATGATTCAGTTTGCCACCTTGGAACTGGAACTGTCTCTCTATAAAAAAAAAACCGATAACATTAAATTAAAAATGGTGGCAATATACCCTCAAAAATTCATCTCCGTCATGATTTTCTTTTTTTCTTTTCTGGGGTAAAATAGTCAGCAGCAATCTATCACCACATTAAATGCTCATTCTATATAATAAGATATAATGTTTTTCATATACAGATATGCAGTGATGATTGTTGGATAACATGTACTTGGATGACGTTGCTGTTCCCTAATGTCAGGTCTCTATTTTATCGTGTGACGAGATGATACAATACAGCAGCTAGTGTAGATGCAAAATCTGAGCACATGTACAAGTCCAGCGAGCAGTCGTGCCTTTTAAACAGAAAAGTGGCGGTAAGAAAGAACAAGAGAGAAACAAACAGGAGGAGAAAGTAGCAAAGCTCGCTAAGTCAGATTGCTTTGACTTTTTTACAAACAGTTGCCAGCAGTGTGTGTGTGTGTGTGTGTGTGTGTGTGCGCCACTGCTGTTGAGACATGGAAACGGGGGGGTGTCCTGTGACAGCACGTCCCACGGATGCTCGATCAGATTAGGATCTTGGGAATTTGGAGGCCAGGTTTACGTCATGTTCCTCCAGCCGTTCCTGAGCAGTGGTTGCAATGTGGCATGGCGCGTTGCTCTGCTGGGGGGTGGCGCTGCCATCAGGGAGTGATGTTGGGTGGGTGGAGAACACATGAACGCCAGGACCCAAGGTTTACACGGCAGCATAACAAGATGATCAAAGTTATTCACTTCACCCACCAGTGGTTTGAACGTTTTGGCTGATCAAGTTACATTTAATCTGAACACATCACTTCAGTAACGTTGATTTACCAGTAATATTATAAAACGTACAATGCCAACATTTTCTCCTGGCGGCTGGGCTGCTGCACGCTAAACACAAACAGCTACAGCCAGTTAGCTTAGCATCAAGACTGGAAATAGAGGAAAACAGCACTGCACAAACGTTAAAAACAACCCACCTACCAGCACCTCTAAGCCTCACTGATTAGCATCTTATTTGTGTCATTAAATGCATCCCACAGCTACGTCATGCTGCCCTCTGACAATAATACCCAGCTCCTCAGAGCAGGACCTCCCCTCTCTGTATCTCAGATAAGACTTAAACCATGAACTCATTCTGTCAGCAGATGTCTGGATGCTGCCGGCTCCCAGCAGAGTTTCCATGGAGTCTGTTGACATGAAACACGTACTGAGGTGGGGCCCTCTGGAGGCTCCCTGTGACACCGCAGTCCTCTACTCTGTTCAGTTCCAGGGGTGAGTCTCACACACGCGCACACACACATCACACATTGTCCTCCTCCTGTCACATACTCACCAGAACACACTATGTGGATTAATCCGCCACTGAAAATAGTTCCAAACAAAGTCAAATTCCTCCTGTCTGATAAAAACCACAGTGAGCAGCTGTTTGAAGAAATTACTGACGAAACTATTTATATTTGTGGTGTGAAAGATTTACAGACAGGAAGTCAGACAGCGTTTAGAGACGAACTAACATGTTCGTTGTTGTTTTGTTTTGTTTTTTTTAATGGAACTTACTGATTAACAACTTACATCAGCTTTATAACTGTCAGCAGAGTGCACCACTGAGAGGATTTTAGAAGTATATCATCACCTGACAAGTAGTAATTTTAAAAAGAAAAAGAAAAATTAGTCTACAGCATATTTTATTCTTAAAAATCATGTGTCTTGCAGAAAATATTGTTGTGTGGTTTCCACTTTGGGGGACACACCCCAGTTGAAAAAATAAATACATTTTGCTTTATGAAATTTAGGAAAACGCTCAGATCACACTTTCCTAAGTTTAAGATGAAAAAGACAAAATGAGATATCTAGTTTTATTTTATTCATTAATAGTCCAAAACCCAAAGATATTCAGTTTAATATCACAGAAGACTTAGAAAACAAATTAACTGTCACATTTCAGGAGCAGGAATCTGATTTTTGACATTTGTGCTAAAAAAAAATAGTTGCAGTACGGTGAGTGAATTAAGATGACGAGGCCCAGTGAAACATGAAAGCTGCAGCTCATACCTGCAGCCTAATGTAAGACACAACATCCAGCAGGTAATCATTACATTCATTAAGTAATTTAAATAATGATGCACCTGTCCTAATAAACAGAATCAACAGGTGTGTCTTTTCTCTGATGAGCCAGCTGTGACACATTAACACACAAAGCTGTGTTAGTTTCTACATTCAGACTGCATCACGTCAGCTGTAAATCACATTATAATTATCTGTCCGGAACATTCCTGCGGTTGGTTTGAAGTCTTCAGTGCGCTCCTCTGTTTAAGGAGAAGAGGATATACTTGATTAATCCCTGAAGGGAAATTAAATTTTCTCACTCTGTTGTCAAATACACACACAGGCCTGAAATACACACACATGCACAAACATGAGTGAGGGGGCTGGTTGGGTGCCTTACTCAAGGGCATCTCAGCAGTGCCCAGGAGGTAAACTGGCACCTCTCCAGCTACCAGTCCACACTCCGTCTTTGGTCTGGACAGGCCGACCCTCCCGTTCCCAAGCAAAGTCCCTGTGAGAGTTCATGCCTTCAACCGTAGCCTGAGGACCAATTTTAAATGGCTCGTCTTCACAGATATACTATATGTGGTACTCCACATATGACGTCCAAGGTACCCTGGGTGTGTTGGTTGTTGACGCTGTGTCAACTTCAGCCTGTTACATGCATTGTCTGTTTTCAAAATACACTTCTGTTTTCACAGGAAATGTACAGTTTGCATGCAGTCTCTTTCAAAATAAAAGCACTATGTCGGTAACACCAGGAATTGATGTTTTTCAACAGCAAATCATTCAGCCAACACACGTGTGGTTGGGTTTAGGACAAAGGGACAGGATTGGCTTCATAATCTCCCGGGTGAAAGTCACAGGCTGCTTGACCAGTCTACCACCCCTCCTACCTTTACTTACCTTGTTGTCCCAGCATTTCCTGCTGACACAACCGGTCACCACTACACAATAACAGCAACTGGCTGCGTATCATGCTGTGTTGAAAGGACATCTTTATTCGTCTGTGTCTGACGCCAGAAGTCACTGACAAAGCGTTGTATTCAACGTCTTCAGAGTGAGACCGGGTTGTCTGTGGTATGCAGCCCACTGAATATGCGTGTTTCTCCCGCTGGCTCCACCCACAAGTTCCTGCTCGTCTCATAAACTTTACATTGTGATGCTGTCATAGATTTTTAAATCGCTTTCTCGGCTCTAGCCTAAAATTGAAGCAATATTTAACCCCCTCACTGAGAAGCTAGCATGACTGATGATTGGTACCACTGGGTTCCTCCGGTCTCCTCGTTTCAGAGGGCTGAAAATGAAATATTATTGTGCATTTTTTCAAACACTTTTATGTAAAATTCAGTTTGGCATATTTGGAAAGTTTGGGACAGGAGAACTTAGATTTAAGTTTCATGTGAGTGAAAAAAAACCTGTCGTGTAGGTTTGATAACAGAGACAGTGGACGTGTCTTCATTAGTGCTGTGATAAATGTCACCCAACAGGTCGGCTCCACCTGTCAGCAGGCCGACACACTGACTCATCTTCACTCTTAATTTTATTTTCACTGCGCTGCAACAAACAGAAGCCTGAGTCAAGGAGGAAAAACACTGAGAACAAGCCGTACTCAGCTCCTGTGAATCAGTGGCATGCACAGCAGCAGCAGCACAGCGGTGGAGGTATGCAGGGTGTGGCGCCTGAGTTTAGCTAATTATTACTGAGGTGTCAGTGGGTGAATATGACAAAACCCACATTATCTGCTCAGAGACGCTGACGTGCACGAATGGTTAGAGTTAGTTTCAGCTCACACAACCAGTTCTGTTCTCATGCTGCAACCAGAAGCACAAAAACCCTTCAAAATAAAGAAGCATGAAGCGGTACATTTAAAGCTCTCTGTGTGTCTCTTTCTCCTGCAGTGAGTTTGAGCTGATGTTGCTGAACGGCAGCTGGGTGGACGCTCATGAGTGTCAGCTGATTCCTCACACTCACTGCGACCTGACCTTAGACCTGGGCTCCGACTCCGACTACAACCTCCGTGTCAGAGCGCAGTGCGGCTCCCAGCTGTCGCTTTGGACCAAGCTCAGCCTGCCCTTCAACCGCAGAGACAGTAAGACGTTTCTCACATGTGAAATTAAGTTTATACCTTTATTTACAAATACATTGTGTTAGCCAGGCCTGTCAGATATTGTAATTTTCAGAATATGTCAGGCTGCTCAGAAACTCCATCATTTGTTTTGTCAGAGTTTGGTTTTAATTAGTTATGTAACATTATAGAAAGGGGGTGTGGCGTCATGAATGACAGCTGTGTGCTTGTAATCAGTGGTGCTGGATGTATGGGCGGGATTTGTTACCAGCGAAAGATAACATCGTCGTTATTACTTTGGCTTCATGTTGTACAGTGGAAGGAGGTGGAGGTGCGTCATTCGTCTTTATATACAGTCTCTGGCGTGGACGTTCATCGTCTACACTGGGCGTAGCTGTGCCTCGTCGTAGTGTTAGGTGGTGCAACAGGTGTAAAAATTAATCACAAGGCTGGATTCTTTTACGTCCAGCTGTTGCAGCCGGATTTTGATGTGTTATTTACATTTGAAATAGTTTTGACGCCAAAGAAGAAGAATGAAATGATGTAAAGTTCCATTTAGTGCAGGCGTCAGTTAACTATCAGAGGAGCCATTTATGACCAAAAATAATTATGTCCAGAGCTGCAAAACATATTAAAGCCTTATGGTAACACTTCATATTAAATTTTTATTTATTTATTTATGATTATTTGATACTTTAACATTGCATCATTGGCAGTGAAAGCAAACAAATCTGTCCATGCACTATTAAATTCTGTATTTTATTCTGACACACTGTTAGCTGAGTGAGGGAGGCTCAAGACGAGCCACCACTTTTGAGGTCTGGCAAAATTTAGAGGAAAAGGCGCCAGGCCGTAGATGTATGATGCACATTTTAGTTGACGAAATGTTAAAACTTTTTTTTTTTTTAATCAGTGCAGAGGCTACACATTTTTACAGTTAGGGGTGTAAGAATTTTGTTAAACCTACAACAGTGATAAATAGAAATGAAAATGTTAGAAACAAATAAGTTATTCACTTTCATGATATATTTGGTCAAAGCTACAGATGAGGCACTGATTTAGTTGATGTCCAAACAGTGCATGAAACTTGGATTTTGAATTTGTTTTTGGTCCAAACTGACATACTGTTGTGCATTTCCTGGATTTTTTTTTTTTACTGTGTGACATGTTCTTTTTTCATTTTCCTGAGGTTCTTGTATCAAAGTCTGCTCCTTCATCTTTCAATGCCTTCCTGGGTTTCACATTATCGCACTTCAGAATATGGTTAGGCATATGACCGTTTCACATGTGTGACAGGGCCGCAACAAAGTCCCCTTATTACGCCGCCTTTGCTTTTATATACAGAACAATGGCAGCATCATGTCGCTCCAGTGTGCGATTCACAGCATGCCAGCGTTCCAGGAGCAAAAAAGTCATGACGGTGTGACGTGTACCACAGCAGCATCGACCTCTAGTGTGACATATAACATACTTGTCGGCAGCACTTTATACACAATAACAATGGTATTAAGGTGTCAATAACAATTATTTATTGTGAGGAGCTCCTGGACCTCATTTTTTCCCAATTGGCTGACATTTTCAGTTGCTGTTCATCTTACATGAGTTAGCTGCTAACTGCTGCTAGCTACTTTTTGCATCAGTGGTTCCCAACTGGTCCAGGTATCTCATTGTTCATTAGTTCAAGGTCCACACAGTGTAATATATTCAGTGTCATACTTGTATTTGAACATTTCGTCGAGCTAGTTTTCTGTCTCTGTTAAGTAGCTGTCTGTTAGTCACTCACTCTACAGCAAGAAAGAACACTTGAAAATAAAAGCTCTGTGTTAGAAATTAACTGCATTTCAAAATAAAGTGTGATTTTTATAAACTTGACATGTTTGCGGGTCTATTTAGGGAGGACCCGCCACCCACTTTTTGACCGCGACCCACCAGTTAGGAACCACTGCATTACATCTCCTGGGGGTTGAACACATACTAGATCGTCAGAATATCACACCTGTCTCGTCCTGCCAGCTCACGCTTTTCACACATACATTACTACCTCCACTGCCGGCTTAAAGGTGAGACAACTCTGTCCCCCTATTTCGTTACTGTCCCTGTTATACAAAGCGGCGAGGTGGGATAACGGCGCAACATTCCCGCCTTCAAGATGCAGTCTATAAAGAGGGTCTATGAAGAGATAATGGGTTGGTTATAAGGTCAGGTCCAGGTTAAGGTAAGTAGAAACAGACTTTGACACAACACAGCTTAAGTCCCACGATTTCATGAACGCTGCAATAATGGAGACGTGTCAAATTATCCAGAGGATGCACAGCACAATCTTTTCACCAGAACATTTTGACTTATAAAAAATTCTGATTCTAATGTGTTTGAACTCAGGATTTTATGTATTGTGTCAACACCAGGAGGAGGTTACACACTTAGAGTGAAGGGGCCCCTCTTTGGCCCTTTAAAATGTCTGTCCACGTCGCTGTCTAGCACAGCACTCATAGTTTTTTAAAAAAAATGCATAAATCAGTGAATGTTAATCTCTTGTTGACAGCGGTCTTGACGGCGCCGGAGATGGCGGTGACGGTGGCAGGTGATGCCCTTCAGGTGTCGTTCAACAAGCTTCCTCTCATTGCTGTTGTCAGTGTGACGGTGTGGAAGAGAGGCGACGAGCTGCAGGTCAGAGTTTACTTCTCGTCTTTATTCCCTTCTTTTCCTTCCTCCCATCGTTATGTGTCCTGTCTTTTATTTTTCCCTCTTTCCCGCCTTCTCCTCTTCTTTGTTTCCTTTCTCCTTGATGTCTTTTCTTCTTTTTCCTCCTTTTGTCTCATACCTTTGTCTCCTCCCCACTCAGTTTGTTTTTCCAGCTCACCTCTCTTTTATTCCTTCCCCCTTTCCTCTTCCTTATTTATTGCCCTTTTTTTTAATTTCCTTTATTTCCCTCCTTTTCTTTCTTACATCCTTTGATGAACCTTTCCTTCTTCCATTGATTGATATTCCTTGTCATCTCCTCTGCTTTCATTGAAGCAAGTGAATTTGTAGCTCAGAGTAGTTGCTGAGGTGCAGATATTTTGCACTATTCAGTTAATTTCTTGTCTATTTTTTTTTTTTTAAAAACAACAACAAAAAACACTTGTATTATACATCTTCCCCTCCATTTCTCTCTGTCTGACTCTGATTCAGGCCACTGTGCACACAATGCCAGCTGAGCAGACGGTGCTGCTTGTCCCCGCCCTGCAGGAGGGAGCGGTGTACTGCGTCACAGCTCACACCATCCTGGACAATCGGCTCCGCAGCAACAGCACCGACCCCCAGTGTGTCTCCATCACTGGTGGGTTACAGTTACAGGGTGTTATGGCACGCACACACACACACACACACACACACACACACACACACACACACATTTTGTTTTATTGACATAATACCTAGGCTATATGTTCTCACTTTCCTAAATAGATTAACTTTCAAAAAATTTCTTGCTCGATACTCTTTCCAAAATATTACCAATTTACAGAAAAGTCCTCATTTTCCAAAAAGTTACTTACCTAAAGGATGTCACGTCATTTTTTTCCATTTCTCAAAATTCATTTTTACTTTCCAAAAATGTCCTCTTTCCAAAATGTTCCAAATTTCAAAAACCCCACTGTGGAAAATGTCCTAACATCGTGCTCTCACTTTCCTAAAACGTTCCCCTTGTTTCATGTTCTCTACAAAATATTTCAGATTTCAAAATATTTCCTTACTTTCCCAAAAAGTTACTTACCTTATTGATTTCATGTTTCAGTTTTTTTTCCACTTCACAAAAATATTTCCACAATCCATGTTTTTACTTTCCAACAATGTCCTCTCTTTCCTTCCAGTTTTTAAAAACTGTTCCCAGTTGGCTAAAAAATGTCATTCCAAATGTCCCATTGCTCATTAGTCTTTTCAAAATATTTCCATTTTAATTTTCCAAAAATATTGACAATTTTTAAAATGTTGTAAGAACCTCACATTTATATATTTTTTAATATTCTCGTGATCCATGTTTTTACTTTCCAAAGTGTTTCCACTTTGCAAAAAGTCCTCACATTCCATGTTCTTAATTAATTGTAATTTCCTAAAACAAAGTCCCCACTTTCTGATATTTCTTTACAAAAATGTCACAATTTTTAATAAATGTCACTTTAAAAAAAAAAGAATAAGAAAAAATATTTTTAAAAAAAATTGCAAGATTTTATCACCCTGACCGAATGTTTCAGGGTTCTTTTTTTTATACTTAACAAAAAATATTTTTCAAAATCCATTTTTACTTTACAAAAATGTCCTCTTTCCACAAATGTTCCTATTTTCAAAAATCTGTCCTCACTTTGCAAAATTGTCCTCATGCGCCATGTTCTCGCTGTTCTTAAAATGCACAAGCCTAAAAAAATGTCCTCTTACTCCATATTCTTTGCAAATTATTCCCAGTGTCAAGAGATGTCTTCATATTCCATAAAATCTTGTTACTTTCTGAAAGAACCTTGCATTTCTTTCCCACCAAAATATTCTAACAATGTTTTTACTTTCAAAAATGTTCCACTTTGCAAAAATGTGTTCAGGTTCCATGTTCTCTATTTCCTAAAACAAAGTCCCCACTTTGTGAATTTTCTTTACTTTACTAAAACCAACCAAACAAAAAAAACAAAAAACAAAAAAAAACCAAAACTATATACCAAGAATTTTCTTCCTTAGCCAGTCAAAAATAAAAATAAATGCTGATAAATCAGAAACTTTTCTTCATGATCCACCCGCAGGTCCAGACACTGCCTGGAAGAAGCCGACCACTGTGACTGTGACCATCATCATCATGGCCGGTCTGCTGTTCGCTGTCTTCTGGTCCGTCGTTCACTGTCGTCCAGACGTCTGTCAAACGTACATCCGTAAAGAGCCACTGCCCCGCTCGCTGGTCAGTCTCACCCCGTATAAACACAGAAATGCATATAAAACTAGTGCATTAAAGTCACGTTAGAATAGACCTGGTTTTAAAAATAACTTAATATTTAACTGAGCTCCAGAAAATTGATTTTAGATTTTATAAATATGCAAAACATATAACAAATATACCATAAATATGTTACTTACTTAAACCTGGTCGCTGTAATGTGTCTATATTTATTTTTAAAAATATTTTTTTCATTTTTTAACCCAGCTGTTTTGGGTGTCCTGTACTACTGGATGTTATTTCTATCTTTAAATATTGTGATTTACTGTTTTTATAATTGTAATGTGACACAATTCTTATGAGGAAATAAGGCTTTTCACATTTTTTTATTACATGAAAGATTCTTAAAATTTGATCTATACTCCATCAAGATCTGAGATCTTAAATCATACATACTGTATATGCTCCAGTAAGTATATTTTAAATACATGTGCATATATATTTCACTCAAAGGGATGAAAATCAATTTAAGTCTCAACTATGTGATTTTGAATTGTTGAAATATCGCAGTATATCAGTGTGTGTTTTAATGTGCTAATCTTTAATAGAGGAAATCCGCCCTCTGTTGCAGGAACCTGACTGGGACATTAAAATCGCGATGAGCCCTGAGGAGGCGGAGCTTCATGAGGAGGTCCATTTGTGCGTCGACCCACCGAAGTTAACAATCTGAAACCCTGAAGAGTCACGACCAAGCGTCAGCGTCCGGGCCTGAAAAAAGAAGCCAATGCGCAAGTGCCAAAAACTGCAGTTCTTTGAACGGCCACTTGAGGCTGACTCCAAGAGCGAGTCGATCCCCACAGACCGCCATCTTAAAACTTTACAGCAGAAGCAAACATGTTTACAGACAGGTACAAGGTTTAGTCTCCATGACAACCATATGAAGGGGTGACAGGCTGTCTGTGAGGCGTCACTACAGTCTGAGTCAGAGCCACCCCTTGCTCCTCCACAGCTCCACCCTCTCATCCAAATATGGTCACTTATGGCTCCAAAAAAACAAGATGGTGACAGCTGAAATCCCGAACTCGGGGCTTTAAAACAGGAGTCCACAAACATATGGATTACGTCATGGAGTCACACTCTGTGGTCACAACACATCTGGAAGACCAAGTGCTGAACATGGTGGACTGATGTTGTATGTTAATGTTTTGAGAAGATGCTGTTGAGCTGTTCAGGTCTCCTGGAAGTTTTGGGGGGTTTGTGATGTGTTCAAATCTTGTGGGAAAACTGAAACAAGCAAAGGAAACAAAGGGAAACAAAGGAGATGCTTTGTAATCCAAGCCATGAGACGTTTCACCACTCCAAAACCAAACAGCTCGTTACATCGTCACTTTTGTTATCACATCAATACTGACTTGAAATACAACAGTCACGTCAGTGGACTCATTTTAGTAATCGTCGTGCTGCTGTCTAGTGTTAGGTACACTTAACGGCAATGACCCTGACATTTACACAGACACACATCTGAATTTTGGGGAGATATGCAATTACCAATTTTACAGGGTGTAACAGAAAAGCAATATAACAAGTAGCGTAAAGAATTCACCCTTTGTCAAGACCCGCCCATGGTCCCGCCCCCCTTAGTTACTGTTGCTGGATTCGACAAAACAAGCCTCTCGGGGGTTCATTCCCATAGGAAACAATGGAAAATACCAGGAGATTTAACTTTCTTGTAATTCGAATTGAATCCATCATTCTGTCCAAAACGTGGCGTCAGTGATAGAGAACAAACGTGACTACAGTTGAGTGAACTGGCAATACGTGACCCGATGTCCCGATGTCTGACGGTAGCCATGGCTGCTAACCTGAGTTGTTACCCCTGACGTCTGACGTTAGCTATGGGGAGAAGCACTCTGGTTGGTGGGTCAGCAGACCAATCAGAAGGCCAACAAAGGGTCAATTACTGTCGGCAGGGAGTAATTAGTAAAGTGATATTATTACTTTTGAGAAGAGTGATGAGTATTTACAACATTCTGTTTTTGTTTGTAAAGAGAGTATAAATGAGGAGTGGACGGTGTGTCAGAGTCTCTGGTTTGTCACAAGGCAATCCATTGCAGCTGGGGAGAATATCTGTACATCTGGAATAATAATACAGATAATTTGTTTATTATAGTATTTATTTTCTGTGACATCATCAGTAACTGTAATGAGTTGTAGATGTTTACTTTATGGCATCTTTTTTTGTTGCCGTCACGTTTAAGTGTTACATGTTGTCACTGTGTTATTGGTGTTTTATTAGATTCATACTGTATTTTTTTTACTTTTTTTACATGAATCCTGATCTTGTGTGTGTGTGTGTGTGTGTGTGTGTGTGTGTGTGTGTGTGTGTTAAGGTTCAGTTCAGGTGATATTTTGTGTTAATATTTTTTGTCAATAAATTCAACATGTTTAAAAGTTCTGTTTTCACTGAGCTCAGTCACTCTTAATAATCTCAAGATGAACAAGTTCAGTATTGAATCTTAAATACAGTATAAACCTTCATCAACATTTGAACTGCAGTAAAAACAACTGTTTTTGCACTTTTTATTCTCAATTTGCAAGAAAAAAACAGCAGCTTCTCAAGTTCAGAGTGTTCTAACACATTTTCTGTATGTTCGTCTCCCAAAAGCAATGCGCTCAAATTCGTACATATTTCCCACGTGTTTTGAAAGCTGCGATCCCGTGGCCAGTCTGCTGATGGCAGTAAACAAGAAGGCAATCTCGAACACTTGTAAGGAGGCAAGTTGGGATTCGTGGATGGGCCTTTGTATTCCTTTCTGAACATAGGCCGTTGATGAATTGTTTCCACCCTTGTCTGTCTTTGGCCTTCCTCTCCAGATGTTTCCACGTCAATCCCTTCTTGATTTCTTGCTCTGTGCTCCTTCTCCAGGTGTTTTTGGGTCTTCCTCTGCCTCATTTGCGTCATGTAGATGGGACACACACACACACACACACACACACACACACACACGCACACACACACACACACACACACACACACACACACAACAAAAAGGACTTTCCCTTGGAGTAACGTGTTCACATCTGTGTGACCTTTGAGTCATTCTAAGGAACATCCTCACCATGTTTCTTTCCCTAAACCTAACCTCCGTAACTTCTGTTCCATGGGGTGCAAAGATATCATAGGAACCATTCTATGAAAATATGTGGTCAAGTTACATGGGACACAGTTTTTATTTTGTTTTGTCACAATCATGATGCAGAAGTTTTAGATAAGAGAAAATAGGTCCTTCATTCAATAATGACTTTGTGACAGAAAGAAAACCAGCAACATTTTTACAGCAGCTACATTTGTTGTTTTCAGCCTTCTTCCCCATCTATGAGAAGTTTTGGTTTTGTTCCAAAATAAACATCTACTTCGTACCTCCTTAACCCCATGCCCACTTTTCTGAGTCAATCATGTTTGCATGTAGCCTGGAAATCCAGACTCAAATCTAGAAATATTTTGAGTCTGCCCCTCACCGATACACCCTTCCTACCCAAGGGGCGGCACTAACTGAGGCATATTAAATGCCACCACACGCAATTGGATAGCACGATGGCCAATCAGAGCAAAAATCAAGGTGAAATATTCATCGCACTAAGCCCCATTTGTTTGCCGACCAGTGGGGCTAACTGATATATTATGCTTCTGTTGTATCCCGTCGGCAAAACAGCAAAAATGTCCTTCCTGGAAACGAAGGCTTCTAGGGCAGTCTAAAGATAAGTGTAGTTGGCTTAACGTTTCTTACAAAGCTAAATTGAATGGATGCGGTCCTTTGGCAGCTGCCATCTTGGCTGTTTACGCTGTCGTCATCACGTTACGCCCACCCAGAGCCCACCTCTATCAGATAGACTGATCTGATTGGTCCGATTGGTCAGCGGGCTCTGCTCGTCGGGGCCAGGTCCCTGTGCAGAGCAAATTTGAATTTGCTAGGGGCGGGGCATCTGGATTTCCAGGTTAGTTTGCATGTGCTCTGCTGACACATTTCTTTAATACGTCTCTCCTGTCTGACTCTGTGACCTACAGTTTAACGTGGCAGCTGTTACCCTGGTAATATAAAAACCTGGATCTAACCTGGAGACCTATAGGAACTACAAATCAGTCTCCAGTCTCACAGTCCTTGCCAAACTCCTTGAATAAACAGTTGCCAGCCGGGCTTTAGGGCTGCAACAGTTCACAAAATTCACGGTTTGGTTTGATACGATACAGTGATACATTTCCGATGCAGGAAAAAAGGAAGAAAAATGTCCTTGATTTTTTAAATCTAGTCCATAGCCATTGGTAGCTTTGTCACCTTCTACCTATGCCAATCCTCAATGCCTATGTGCAGTTTCACATAGATTGACCACGTCAGTGAGTAGAAAAACGTGGGACAGACAGAATGACTGACTGACAGAATGACACATTGACAGTTTCCGTGATTATGTACAGCATACCATACCATGACTTAGTCATACCAAAAAGTAGAAAAAAACCCCCAACACTGGTCCACAGGGGGAGCCACAGCGATCGGTCGCATTTTAGCCATTTTGAAGCATTTTTCTGTTGTTATAGCGCCACCCAGTTGCCAATTAGAGTTAAATTTCTCCAGTCACCTTGAGGCGTCTTGTTCTACATATCTACCAAGTTTAGTAAAAATCCATATGGCGGTTCGGCCTAGATAAGAAATGAGCTCTCTAGCGCCCCCATTTTCTTTGATGGGGTCAATAATGGAGGGGTCCCCTCAGATTATGTGTGGTCATATGCCTACAAAGTTGCGTGGTGATGGGTGAAACCCTTGAGATGTTATACACCTTTATGTGATGAGCCACGCCCTCCGCAATATTCATTGCCTTATAGAAGCTCAGTTTTAGTAAGTTTTCCAACTTTTGCCAAGAGGGAACTTTAGATATTGGTCCCTAGATTATGTTCACCCAGTTTCATGCAGATCGCTCAAACTTCCTAGGAAGAGATCCATTTGAAGTGTTTTTCAAAAAATTCAAAATGGCGGAAAATCTATATAAGCGGAAGTTATGGGTTCTTGAGGCAAATGTGTTCCTCATGAGGAGAGGCATCTCTGTGCAAAGTTTCATGTCTCTATGACATACGGGGCATGAGATATTCCCATTCAAAGTTTGACATTTCAATGGGTTGCTATAGCGCCCCCCTTTGGCCAATTGATGTAATATTGCTTCATTGGCATCCTCCCATGACCCTCTACCACTGTGCCAAATTTCACATGGATTGACCAAGTCAGTGAGGAGAAAAACGTGGAACACACACACAGAGTTTTCATCATTATATAGTAAGATAAGATGTTTAGATGTCCATCTACATCCCAACCCTCACCTGGGGCCTCATTTATAAAACTGCACAGGTAAGGTGACTAAAGGTGACATACGAACAAAGCGCAGACGGTGCGCACACATGTCCCGTGCTTGTTTCCGGTATTAGAGGCCTTTGTAACGTGTTGTTAGCCAGGTCACTGTAATCGACTGAAGGCCCAAACTCACTGAAAGCATCTGAATTGTCCGTTTTGGAGTGCTGTTCTGTGCTCGCTGAATATTACTCACATAGAAAATTAATGGAGGTGTCTGTGATATAATAATTTTGCCAACAATAGCAACCTTTCCTAAAATACTGCTGTGCTGTGAGATAACTTTCATAACGCATCTCTCTCTTGTCTTTGATCTGCTGTCTCTGTGACAGATCAAATAAGTGATTTTTTTTATACATTATACTATCGCCTAATTTCTATACAAGTGATATACATACTGTTTTACATAAACAATTTGATAGTGTTTTCCATATTTGCTGATAAATGGTTTTCTGTAAAAGGAATTGAGAGCAAGTACCACAGAGACGCCTGTCCCAAATGTACATGGCTGAGTTCAGTGAGTGAAGCAAATAAAAGCACAGGCTACTGTGTATATAAGATAAACTTCACCACTCTGGGCTGTGATTTTTGTTTTGTCTTGCCCTGCCACTGTTTTGTATTTTTTTGTATTTACTCCTTTGTTATACAGTATAGGCTATATTATATTCGCTGTCAATTTTAATGTGTGTTTCAAATTATTTTTGATGTTTTTGGGTGGATTGTGACCCCTCTTGAATTACAAAAAAAAAGACCTACTTAATACTGTAATCTGTAGTGACGTGATCTTTTGACTGTGCAACAAATCCTTTAAAAAAAGAAAAAAAAAACATTTATTTTGGCCTTTTTCACACTTCACTTCCTGTCATTCCACCATGTCTGTTCCACATGAGAAATGGCAAAAAGGAATTAGTTAATACCAAAATTATTTTTTTGTTTTTTATTTGGCAACAAAAAAAACAAATTAACCACAGGATTTTTTTTTTCATCTTAAAATGAACTTCCAATCATATGTTCAACTTATCATTTGGTTTATAATGCATACCAAACTGAAAGCCTTGTACCAAATGGTTCAGTACAAAGAGGTGGACACTATATTCCAGTGGGAGCCTCAGGAGCCAGAGGATAATAAAATATAGTTCAATGTAACATCAATAGCTTTTGTGTCGGGGTCATTTACATCAATTTAAGGATGTATAAAGAGATATAATTAGATATGAATGTGACTAGTAAAAGCAGTGGGTCAAAGAGAATGATTACATTAAAGGATTTTATTTCAGATAAACAACAACATATTTGTGTACAGTCTATAAGAGTGGAAACAATAGCAAAAAAATTCACATGTAACAGGTAAAACAAAGGTATTTCTTCAAAAATGATGCTCAAGTGTCTCTTTAGCATAAAGCAACATTTACTTTAGCTAACCAAAGTCAACATGTCATTTTAGGTAGACACATTTTCTACGTGAACACATCTGAAGAAATTATATAATACACATAACAGAGGTTTCAGACAATTACAAGACACAGGAGATTACATATACACACAGCTGTCTACACTATTTAACTGATTAATGACAACAAATCTAAAATGATCATGCAGTTTCAATTTGTTCAAAAATAATAGACATGAATTTTTAGCTTTTAGTATAAACCCTAGATTGTAAAGCTTGTTCAGTCCCCAGAACCGAGGCGGGTCCTCATCATGTCGGTGGACTGAGGTTTGGCTCTCAGCGTGATATCAACAGACATGTTTAGCCTTGTTTAGCACAAAGACAGGAAGCAGGGGAAACTCCTCGCTGAGTCCCATCAAAAGAAAAATCCCAGCTGTGTGTCGTCAGCTAAAAAGGTCGTCACCAGTCCATCCTGTTGTCTGTTGAGTTCAGTTGACAGTAGAGTTTGGGCAGACCTCAAACCAACAAACCCACTATGAGTTCAGGATTTAAGAGATGCAGCGAACACCACAGTTTACATTTCTTTTTCTACACATGTTCAATAAACAAGATACAACATGTGAATCAAACTTTGAGTTTTTGAAAGGCTAAAAGAAAAATTGTGGATTGTAACAGCGATCATTGATGTTGACCTACATATTATGTTTATGCACTTCTGATTTCCAACAGCAAATACAGCAAAGTGGGTCTCATTCATGAAACATGAGCAGAACGAATTTGTGTGTAAACTGTTCGCAGAGGAAAATTTAAGTGTGTTTCGGCATTCATCAATATGTCAGTAGCTCTGATCTTTTTGCAGGTACTAATAAAATGATAGCACATAAATATTGCTTGTTATTATTAGGTATCGTGCTCTGTTATGTTCACAACACAAAGACGCCTTTGAAACGCGTCAGTTAAACATGACAGGAGATTGGAAATATAACACATTTAGCTAAATGAGTTGGCATTTAGCAGATTTAACCTTCAGATTCAACACATTCTCACAATGACCTCGTCACCTATTGACATTTTGGTCATGAAATTTCCGCATCCACAAACAACGTGCAAGGTACCCTGGGTACGCTGGTTGCTGATGTCCTGGGCCTGTTACATGCATTGTCTTCTTTCAGGATCCATCCATTCATTTTCATCCACTTATCTGAGGCCGGGTCACGGGGGCAGCAGGCTGAGCAAAGCACCCCAGACGTCCCTCTCCCCAGCAACACGTTCAAGCTCCCCTGGAGGACTCCGACATGTTCCCAGGCCAGATGAGATCTATAATCCCTCCAGTGTGTTCTGGGTCTGCCCCGGGGCCTCCTACCAGTGGGACTTACCTGAAACACCTCCAGTGGGAGGCACCCAGGAGGATCCTGATCAGATGCCCGAGCCACCTCAACTGACCCCTTTAGATGCGAAGGAGCAGCGGCTCTACTCCGAGCTCCCTCCAGATGTCTGACTCCTCCCCCTATCTCTAAGGCTGAGCCCAGATTTTGGTTTGCCCTACAGCATCTACTCCTAACAGCTAAGGTAAATATGTTAATGGTTTAACTCTATTTGTTTCATGACATATTTGTCAAATAATGATCAGGATGTATAGAATTGTTGTGTATTTCAGTAAAACTCATGAAAAGTGTGTTCTTGCCAAGATGTTGTATCCAGTTGTCTTTACATTAAAAACCCTTACTCAGGCGAGACTGGTGGTCTTTATGCTGACTTCATTGGCTGGTCCAACACCTGCTGAGGTCACTGCTCTGCACCTGAACATGTACTCTGTGTTAGGACTCAGATCACTCACTGTGACTTCTTCAGCTTCTGATGCCGTCTTCTGTTTCCATCCATTTTCTCCACTGACACAGTACTCAACAGAGTAGGAGGTGATGTTCTCTGCTCCAAACTTTGGTGGAGAAATCTTCAGTGTCACACTCTTGTGGTTTGTTTCAGTGACTGTCACTGTTTCAGTCTTTGAAGGTGGCTCAAAGTTTTCATTGACTTAATTGCCGTCTTTATAAAGGTAGATGCTTGAACCTTTCTGTGTCTCATTTGTTGAACCAAATGTCAAGAACTTAATGTTCTTGTTCTCCTTGTTGGCCTCTGCAAAGTCACTGAAGAGCTTTGCTTTCTGCCTCATTTCATCTGATAGTTCTTTTGAGGCATACCATTGTTCCTCGTCTTTATCATCAGTATGTGGATCTTTAGTATCTTCTGGTTTGGGTGTTTGTCTCAAGTGCTTTGATAAAGCTGAGAGGAAGGGTTCGGCATAGTCCAGTGAGGTGAAAACAAAACACACTGCATGCTCTGCACTGAGACTTTCTTTGTAGAGGTGATTTTGAGATGGGACGATCTTGGTGTTTTTCATCATGTTGGTGAAAGACATTAATGTGTAGATTTCTCTCTCTTTACAGTCCATCCACTTGTTCAGGTCTTTGTTGTTGAAAGGAGAAGAATGTCTCTCCTTCAGGATCTCTGTGAGCTCAGCCTCTTCTTCTCCTCCTCCTCGGATTGCTGGAAGTATCTTGGCCAGCTTTCGCTGAAATTCAACCTTGTACCCAGAGCACACTTCTTTAAAGGTTTTAATCTTTTTGCCAATCTGTGAGAACTGCTGTGCTGTGGTTGTCAGTATATCATTGCACCTCATTTCCAGCTCACTGAACTCCTCCAGGACAGCCTGGACTTCTTCTACAGACATAGCACTTATCTCACGCACGAGTTTAGCAGCAGAAGAATCTAAACTGGTCAGTGGCAACAGCCAGACCTTCATTGGTACAGCATTTTCTCCATTGGGTCCCAGTAATTTTGGCAGACTTTGGTAGACTTGTATGGCATCCTGAAAGGTTGAAGGAGTTTTTTCAAGTAAAAAGTCTCCATGGAATTTGCAGGAGAATTCCTCAACTTTTTTGAAATCTTTGTCTTCCATTTTCACGCAACCTTCGGCATCTATCTGAACACTGGGAATCTTCTTGACCATCACCTTCAGGTGGCCTTGAATGTCTCCCAGATTTTCATCACTGGACACCTCTCGGTCAAAGACAAAAAAGGCTTGTGCCCCATAAAGAATAGCTGTGACCACATGTGTTGCTTCTCCTTGATCAAAAACATCTGGATACTTCAAATTGCCTTTTCCAAGATGATCCATTGATAGTTGCTGGAACCTTGTGGTTACTTCATATTTGAGTGTCACTCTGGCTTGATTTTTGGATGTCTTATTATCACGCAGGTATTTGGCCGATCCTGCAACCTCTACCAGTCCACTATAGACACCTACCTTCAGGGATGCTTCAACATTTAGAGCTAAAGATTTGCCCTCAATTGATTCTGATGCCACAATGTCAAAAGTATTGTAATGTTGAGGTCTTTCTCGTATGTCTTTTACCAGATTGTCATGGTCCCACAATGTCAGGCCTGCAAAGAAAGGAAGGAAATAATTGTGAATTAAGGAATGGAAATTGTTTTTTAAAAACCACAGAATAGAAAAATCTCTGCCCAGACTACATTTAAATTGAAAGCATCACACTGTTCTTGAATATCCAGTCCTCTTTCAGTTACCTGTTATGTGTTCCAGGGTTGCTGAGCCTGTCCCCACTAAACTATATTGATAAAACATAAATATGCATGATTTCATGCATATTTGGAAAACTGTGAACTGGACCGATCTCTTTGATCTGAAGTATTTCCAGTGAAAACTTTTCAAAGGTTTATAGATTATCCAGAAAAACAAGTACATGGATACAAACAGCAGGCTCCTGAGTGAAAGTCCACGTTCGACCCATTCACCACCTTTCCCACCCACGCACCATGGAGTTTATCGCTCTTTATTCCATCAGATGGGTTTCATAGACTGTTAAAATAATGGATGTAGATACTGTGACGTCATTCATTGGTTTGTGGACTCCAATTTTGAAGTCTCAAGTTCGGCACTTTGACTATCACTGTGTTGGTTTTTGGAGCCAGAAGTGACCAGATTTGGTCACAGTTATGTTACCTACATTATTTTTACTTTATTGAAATGATATCGGCACAGTATCTAATATGTTGAAATTTGTTAGTTGCAGATAATACAAGTTTATTGATTTCAGGAAGGGACATGAAAGAGTTATTAGAAACAGTAGAGAGTTGTGAAAATTGTTCGCTGTTTAGTTATCACTAAATGAAAACAAAACAAGTTCTCAGATGAGATTTAAAGAGGTGAACAGAGTCAGCTGATCTGATGCTCAGTGTGAGGCTGTTCCAAAGCCGAGGAGCAAGAACTGAAAAGGCTCGATCACCCTTTGTCTTTAACCCGCACTCTGGAACAGTGGACTGCCAGATTATTGAGAGCCTTGTATGTGATAAAAAGAGCTTTAAAATGGATTCTGGAAGAGACAGGAAACCAATGCAGGCAGGCCAAAATAAGTGTGATGTGTATGGATCATTTTGTTTTGGTCTGCTGAATTTTGAATGATTTGAAGCTGATGTATACACCGATCAGCCAAAACATTAAAACCACTGGCAGGTGAAGTGAATAACATTGATCATCTTGTTACAATGCAATGTTCTGCTGGGAAACCTTGGGTCCTGGCATTCAAGTGGATGCTACCTAATGCGCTCCACCCACCCAAACACTGTTGCAGACCAAGTAAACCCCCTCATGGCAATGGCACTGCTCGATGGCAGTGTCCCCAATGCACCATGCCACACCACAAAAACTGCTCAGGAATGACCCCAGGAATAGGACAAAGAGCTCAAGGCATTAACTTGGCCTTCAAATACCCCAGATCTCAATCTGATCAAACATCTGAGGAATGTGCTGGTACCCCAGAGGTACCCCCAATCCATGGTGGGTCCTCCTTGGCTCTGACCTGTCAAGGCATGGACACAGGACCTCTGGAGGGTGTCCTTTGGTGTCTGGCATCAGGGCATTACTTTCAGATCTACTGAGTCCTGTGGGTTGTGAGGTGGGGTACCAACACATCTTACGGATGTTTGATCAGATCAGGATCCAAGGAATTTGCAGGCCAGGTCGATGCCTTGAGCTCTTTGTCAAGTTCTTCGGACCATGCGGGGAGGTACCTGGACTGCACTGGTGTTTAGTTGTGTGGAGCGTGCAAGTGTATGTCAGAGCCCAAGGTTTCCCAACAGAACATTGCATTGTAACAAGATGATCAACATCACCTGTCAGTGGTTTTAATGTCTTGGCTGATCGGTGTAGATCGATTGTTTAAGCGGGTGGACAAGGCGTTACAGTAATCAAGGCGGGATGATATAAGAGCATGAATGATTTTCTCTGTGTTACTGAAGGACAGAAATGACTTACATTTGGAGATGTTCCTCAGCTGGTAAAAACAAGACTGGACTATGTTTTTTACTTGTTGCTCCAGGGACCAAATTACTGTCCAGAATAACCTCAAGATTTTAAGATGTTGGGAGTATGGGGGCTGACGGGTGGCTGAATTTGTTTTGAGATATGTTCAGGGCCAATGTTGAGAACTTCTGTCTCAGAGATGAAATTTAAAAAGTTTGGGACATCCAGGTTTTTGAATCATATAGGCAATTATGACGAGATGCTAATTTACGGGTGTCAGAGGGTTTAAAAGAGCTGTGTAGCTATGGAAAGAGATGTTGTGATGACGTATTATCTTGCCCAGGGGTTGCAAGTACAGTAAAGGGTAAACAGACCAGGTCCCAAGACTGATCCTTGTGGTATACCATGTTTTAACTGAGTAGTTCTTGAGGAATATTCCCCAAACTAAAAGAGCATATGAAGCAAAATGTTGGGGAGTGATTATAGATCAAAAACTCTGTTGGAAACCACAAGTAGAGCATATTAAACATACTTTTTGCTACATTTATTGCTGTTCCTTATAAAAACAAGGGAGCTGTTGAATAAAAAATGTCTTTCTAAACTGTACTGTTCACATGTATTGCCATATATGTCTTACTGTGCTAAAATTTGAGGTGATACATATAAAAGACATCTCTGCCCTGTATTTTAACTTGAGATAAGAGCTCTTAGAGTAATATAAAGCCAGTTATCAACTGTTTATAGGCTCCTACACCTTAAAGGTCCTTGATATTGTGTATTTAAAAACATTAAAAATACTTTTTTTGAGTTGTAAATAAAAGCCCTCCTGTCTGTATTCATTGTTTTATGAAGAGAAGGAAATTGTCATCAAAGAGGTCTGTTTATTCATGAAATATAAAATGAGAATTAATGTAAAATACAGATGTGTTTCAGGTTTGAGAGTCAAAGTGTGGAATAGACTCAGAGCTAAGTTGAAACTGTGTCGCTCTCTGTTGAGTTTCAAAAAAGCATTAAAATGTAAAATGATTAAAGTGTACAGTAATGAAGGATTATAATTCAGATTATGTATTTATTAATGTATTTCCTTTCTTTAGTGTTGCTGATATTCAGGGTTATCCTTTGGTTGATATGCAAAAATAAGCCATGGGCTTCAGCCTTTTCCTTATTCGGTTATTGACTGTGAGAAAATCTGTGTGAAATATTCTTTGTTCCTAAAGATGTAACGAAAATAAAATTGATTCATTCATTCAACTGGTGTTTTAGTAAATACGGAGCTAAACAAATTCAGACTGCAGCTGCAAAGTCAGTGATAATCACTTTGTCAGTATATTAAGCCCTGAAGTTTTGGTTAATCTCCAGTTGTGACACATTCATTTCAACAGGTGCGTCCTTACCAGGGATGAATTTTTCATGGCGGCAGTCATACAGCATCCCAAGGCTGAAAGGACGGCCGAGGGCCGCCATCTCCATCGTCTTGTCCATCACTCAGCACAAACTAATAAAACAGATGACAGCATCACTGTTTACCTCTGTCCAACCTGTTACAACCCTTTCTTACCTCAACACGTCAAATACCGCTGATGCGTTGGCTGACATAAACGTCAGAACATGACGCAGTAGGAACCCTCTTGCATCAGTTTTTGATGTTCAGGGACAGCATCTCAATTGGTGCTTGTTATGTGCATTGTTTCTTTTCAGAACACACTTGTGTTTTCACAGGAAATGTACAGTTTCTGCTCGTTACATGCATACAGTCTGTTTCAAAATAAACTCACAACATGGGTAAAACAATTCGTGTTTAGATTTCCTTGAGCTGAGGTTACAAAAGTCTGTAATAAGGTTTGGAGAAAAATATCATGGTTTGGATTAGAAGGAGAACAGTTTTTACTGGTGTAACATCACATCACGTGACATATGTCATGTGACATACATTACTAGTGTAGCATGCTACACATACTAGCACACCACATTATAATTAAAATAACTCCACTCACCTTTTGTTTCACACAGTAAACAAACAGCAGGTGAAACAGAACAGAGTGAAAGTCTGGTGTTTGTTTGACTCATCCACCTCCACTCCTGCCCGCCAAATAGGAACTTTCTTGCTCTTTATACTACAGTAGTTGCCCACAGTCTTAGAAAAAGTCACTGTCTGGTGTGTTTCATACCGCTGCAAAATGTGTTTCTGTGTGTCGGCATCCAAAGCAGGGATCACTAACGAAGCAGCGGTATTTGACGAGTTTGGAGAAAGAATGGACTGGTTAATTTCATCTTGTAAAGTTGTGCAAGCATTTACAATTATTAAATATTAAAAGGGTTTCTAAATCTAAACACCTGGGCATTAGTCTCAAAGTTAAAAGTCAAAATCCAAAGTATGGTTGAGGTGTTTTTCACACTTAATTACATTTTTTTCTTACTAAACAACATGGAACCATTGGAAGTAGTGCCTCTGATGTACTAAAAATATTAATTGGATTGTAAATAAAATCAAAAGAAATAAACACAACTATTATCACTGTTTTGTTCTTTTCATGTTTAGTAGTCCTAATGTATGATTTTATGCTAGGATGTACTGCGCTCATCATTGTACCGCCCATTCTCATTCTGAATTCATCAAATACTGTAGCTTTGTCACTGATTTGGCATCAGACAGTGAAGTCAGAAGCCACCTTTCGTGGTGGTATGGTACACCGAGATGGAACCTTCTGCAGTGTTATGATATGCTCCGCCAACAGTACCTGTCGGTGCAGAATAATACACAGACAGGTGGTGTCAGTTCATGACATGGAAAGATGAAACCTCTCATAGCAATATTGTACGCCGCCAGATTGTGTCACTTTGAAAGGTTGCCAGTGATGTTGTTATATAAGGAGTTGGAAAGTCCCTATAGGGAGGGTGGGAGAGGTGGTGGATGAGTCCAACAAACCTGGACTTTCACCCAGGAGCCCGCTGTTTATTTCCCGTGTGAATGAAGTGCCAAACCATGATGTTATTTTCAGTGGTTGCCATATGCTTGCCTAAACCTAACCATGTACTTTGTTCACATCTGCCGTTGGTTGCCACATACTTTTGTTGCCTAACCATAACTACGACATTTTTTTTTTTATATTGCTGCATTGGTTATCACATACGTTTGTTGCATAAACCTAACCATGTACTTTTGTTGACATTGCTGCATTGGTTGCCACGTATTTTTGTTGCCTTACCTTAACTACAAACCTTTTTTTGTCGTTGTTGCGTTGGTTACAACATACTTTTGTTGCCTAAACCTAACCATGTAGTTTTGTTGACATTGCTGCATTGGTTGCCACATAGGCTACTTTTGTTGCCTAAATTGAACCATGCACTTTTGTTGACACTGCTGCGTCGGTAACCACATATTTTTGTTGCCTTACCCTAACTATGAACTTTTTTTTTTTTTTGTCTTTGCTGCGTTGGTTACAACATAATTTCGTTGCCTAAACCTAACCATGTACTTTTGTTGACATTACTGCATTGGTTGCCACGTATTTTTTGTTGCCCTACCTTAACTACAAACTTTTTTTTGTCGTTGCTGTGTTGGTTACAACATACTTTCGTTGCCTAAACCTAACCATGTACTTTTGTTGACATTGCTGCATTGGTTGGCACATATTTTTGTTGCCTTACTCGAACTACAAATGTTTTTTTGCCATAGCTGCATTGGTTGCCACATACTTTTGTTTCCTAAACCTAACCAAGTACTTTTGTTGACATTGCTGCGTTGTTACCACATATTTTTGTTGCCTTACCCTAACTACAAACTTTTTTTTTTGCCGTTGCTGCGTTGGTTGCAGCATCCTGGAGCATCAACAGCAGACACAGGAGGATACCTTGTCTGTGATAGGTAGACGTGAAAGTCCACTGACGAAGCGGTGCCATGTGAGGACCTGAGATATGAACATGTTGCATAATCATGCTCCTCCATCCTTGAACTAGCCTGTATCATTTCACACTAATGTGAATATTGCACACTTTTCCCACCTAAATCAAGTAAAACAATATTATCAGTTAAATTGCTTCACGCCCTTTCAGAGTTATAGATTTTCTTTATGTGCAGCTCATTTGCCTCATCGATACATAGAAGTGCATGTGCTCAGCCAGAAACATCAGAAGTGGTGAGGAGAGCAAAATTGTGGTCTGTTTCTTTTTTACCTGTGTTTAACCACTTCATGTAAAACAAGAAAACCCAAGATTTTATCCTGCTTTGTTAACATCAAAAATGTGATACGAGCCGAACGATTCATCCACACCTGAACTTCTTTGCCTTTGTTGCTTTCTTGAAAAATCCTTAAGCTTGTCTGAGATAGTCTACAAAAATATGAATCATTGTAAAACTAAAATAAAATCATGCAGTCATGTTCAGGCACCGATACCCTTCAGCATCACATAAACAGAGTAACAGCTCAGTGTGTTCAGCAACTTACCGTTTAGTTTGTCTCTGATCAGGAGGGGAGGAGGAGTGCTGCTTCAACTGACTCTGTAGCTCCTTTTATATGCACTGTGCACACACACACACAGACACACACCCACACACACACATGCACTGTGGTGTGGCTTCATTTTGTGCTGAGTCATACCTCAATAAATGAATAAATCATATTAATCAATTCGGAGGTGGATGGATGGATGAAGTGAATCTTGTTCTCCATACACAGGGACTGAAAGTATTAATGGCTTCACACAAGTCAGCCCATTTCCCCGAAATGCCAACCTGCAAAACTGAAAGTAAAAGCAAATTGCTGCATTTTACACACTCATGTTTATACTGATGATGTTTCTACACCCTCTGAGTATCTCATTAGGGCGTGGGGTCTGTGAGTGTTTGGCACTGATCCATGCAGATGTAGCTTTTGTCTGATTGGATTTATGTTTTGTGTCTTGTACTTTACTTTGTGTTGTGGGATATCTCCTGATGCATTGTTTGTGGGAAGTTTATGGGCTTTTTTTGCCTGATAATGTTTGTGTTTATGTCTGGATGATATTTATGTATTATGCTGTTAGATGATGGTTGATGACATACCGGAGCAACACATCCTAACGGCAACCTCGTCACATATCAGCGTTTGGTCATGGACTTTGCGCGTCCAGATACGACGTGAAAAGTAGCTCGGGTGCGTTGTTTGCGTTGCCTGGTTCTTTCAAGATAAACATACATCATAACAACAATGTGACTTGACATGTTGACATGTTTTTTTCCTCCAAAAACTAACAAACATCGTTGGGTTTAGGAAAAAAAGAACAGGGTTTGGCTAACAGGACGTGGACACTGCTCTCCAGGGTGAAAGTTGGTGTTTGTTGGACCCATCCACCTGAATGATCCAGGGCCGGCTCTTGGCATAGGCCATATAGGCGGTCCCCTAGGGCGCCACACGCTGGCGGGGGCACAGCTGCAAGCCCTCAAAAAAATAAAATAAAATAGAATAAATAAAATAAAATTTGCAGCCCCGACTGGCGCCCTTTCCTCAAGAATACCAACAGTATCTATTATTAAAATCTGTTTTACATACTTCTATTATTATGGTAAAAGTAGCACAATAAAATATATTTGATGACAAATACAGTTTACAGAGGAAATATGGCCTAACTCAAAATATAATCAAAGTATAATGCAACTATCAATATTTATTCAACTTGTCTACAGGACATATTAACGCTAGAATAGCTAATCCTCCTTCAAAAAAGTTAAACTAGGGGGTGGGGGCACCGAACCCTAATCCCGCCTAGGGCACCAAAGTGGCTAACACATGAAAACGAATTATTAATTGATTCATTTATTTATTTATTCATTCATTGTTTTCTTGCTGTAAAGCTCAAGGTTCTTTCACATAATGTCATATACACTCACCAGCCACATTATTAGGTACACCTGTTCAACTGCTTGTTAATGCAAATAGCTAATCAGCCAATCACGTGGCAGCAGCTCATTGACATTTAGTCATGTAGATGTGACGGGGTCAGTTCTCTAATAGACTGTCAATACTTAGTTGTAGGGTCACACTGTGAGTCACTGACCCACCTGGCCACCATGTGAGTCGTTAGGGTCAGGTGGGACCAGGGGTGAATGGGTGTGAAGTCGTCTGGGGAGGGATCCCAAGACTGAAAAAGCCAGGGAGGAAAGATGGTTTGAAAGAGGAGTGAAAGAAGCCATCTACGTCAAGCTAGAACGACCATCGTTAAACAGAGGGGGTGGCTTACGACACTACTTATCACCCACCTGCAATGCAGTCTTGGGATCCCTCCCCAGACGACTTCACACCCATTCACCCCTGGTCCACCTGACCCTAATGACTCACATTGTTTGCAAGGGTTCCCACCCACACAGGGTTTATAGCCTGCAACTACGTACTAGTCACTTAGAACTGAAGAAGCTTCTTGGATGAGAGGCGAAACGTCTTCAAGAGACGCAAGCAAGTCCAGTTGCCTACGATATTAGCACTTACGATTACCATGACCTGGATGACTGAGAATCTTCACCAACCACTGTATTATAGATTGCAGCAAAGTAGTAACTGAGTAAGATTTCTGCAAGATTTTGTAGACTTTACATGTTAACTTCTTATCAGTTTCTGTGTCAAATATTAATGATTCTAAATTGCTCTCCTGTTCAGATGAATGAAAATCAATGGTTTGGAATAAATGTCTGAGTTGCAAATACTTCAAAAGAATCTTGATTAGACAGACAGTACTTTTTTTGCAGATCTGTCCAAAAGATAAATTTGTTTCCATTCATTATATCATCAACAATCACTATATCTCCGTCGCTCCATGTAGACCAGCTTAATGGTGAATTTTAAAGAGCTATCCAAGGATTTTTTCATAAATAAGTGCTTTTCGGACTGGCCACCCAGTCAGGCACGCCGGATTCATTTCAGAAGTGGGGGGGCGTAAAAGTGCTGTGTGTCTGGTGCTTGTCACCGTGTGGGCGTGGCTACCTGTGTAATGTCCAGTTAATAATAGGGACTAGTTAAAGGTGCGTAGTGATCAGGGATTGAAGTACAGCCTGAGTTGAGTGTGAGCTCCGTCTTAACGTCCTATTCACAAAGGATATTGCGCTAATGATATACCAGCGCAAACATGCCCACAAAGTTTGGCAGCTGAGTGAAGTTTGCCCCTGATTGCAATTAGCCACATGGCAAAGCATAAATGCTGGCTTTGCGCCAAGAACACCGTGGCAGAACAATGGCAGATTCTGAATACTGTATCCCCTCATGTAGTGATGTCTGCTGGTGAGTCAGTCTAACAGTGTCGGATGGGTTGAGGCTGTGGATTTGACCCAGTTTGACCACTTTATCACTATTCCCTCTCACCTGTAGCTGTTTTTTCATTATCTTTTGAATTTAATATGAATTATGGAACCGTTTTTGTTCACGTTTGTTTCCCCTGTTTCGTAAAATAAATTATTGAAAGTTGCTTTTGAAGTGCGTGACAGAAGTGCGTTTTGAGAACGACCGATGACTGTCACCTGTTCAACGCATCAGTATCTTCGGATGCCATTAAAGTAATAATGATTATAATAATAATGTTAAAGTAAAGTAAGTAAAAATATTATTTACAGACTGATTTAACAGACGATCACTGCTGCCACGATCACTGGAAAGTCTGGGCGAGAGGCTTCCACAGAGGAGCGCCCAGTTTGCACCAGCTTTCCAAAGACGTTATTTACTTCACTCAAACTGCGTGTGGCTATTAGCGCTGGTGTTAGTGAATTAGACGTAGTTTATCAATGAGGCTCATTTGCATAGAAAGGGCCAATTTTTCCGCCAAATATATGCACATTACCTCATTTAAATACGTGCAAATAACACCAGAGCACCAAGACGCAATCTGCTTGGCAGCGCAGTTAGTGGAGCATTTCACCCTCTGCACGTGCTTTGTGAATTAGACGGTATCTGTTTGCTCCGTTTTAAAAAAGCCACGCAATCCTTTTGTGAATTCGGCCCAGTGTGTTTTAGTGAAAGCAGCAGTATCTTGCAGCAAGTTACAGCTCGTACTCTCTCTTTAAAAAGACGGTGAAGAAAGACAAACAGTCAGATAATGTATTTAATCATGAACTTTATCTTGGGAGGAAAAAAGCAAACAGTTTATTTCTTAACAGTGTTTGCATGAAACCTGAACACTTTGAACCCTTTATGGATAGGGCTGTACCCAAATATTTGAATATTCGAATATTCGTTTCTATGGGTAGGTATTCATTATGAAAATTTGGTATTCGATATTCTTTTTTCTTTTTTCTTTTTACATATTTTTATATAGGCCTAGCTGTTTTTTCGTTATCTTGTGAATTTTAATATGAATTATGGAACCGTTTTTGTCAATGTTTGTTTCCCCCGTTTTGTACAATAAATTATTGTTTAAAGTTTCAACAAGTTTCTGGAGTGCGTGACACAAGTGTGACCGCGGACTGTCACCTGCTCAACGCATCAGTACCTTCGGATGCCGTGACAGTAATAGCCTAATGATTGTAATAATAATAATAATAATATCAAAATATCATTTACAGACCGATTTAACAGACGATCACTGCTGCCCGACCCTCAGTTCCATTTGTGGGTCCCGCGGGTTACGGGTCGCCCCGCGCATCACTACTCAGCTCAGTCTATAAAGGCTGTACACAACAGTAAGGCTATAGACATTATATTCTATTCAGGCCGGCAGAACCAGCAGCGCATCGGCTCTACAGTGCACAGCACTGCTGATTAACCATTTTATTGCAGCACAGAGTGTCTGCCAGCAACCGATTACTTGCAGAGGCTTCCTACAACTTGTTTCAACAGTTCCGATTTAATCAGAAGACAAATTAAACAGGATGACTAGCCAATGTGAAAATCAAAAGAAAGCATAGAATAATGTACTGAAGGAGACTGTTGTGCCATCACATCTTTTTGTGGTTTGAGAGCAAAGATCCGGTCGCCGCTGTGCAAAACTCCTCAGTACAATTCTCAAACTTGATTGAAAATCAATTTTGGAGTGGGGCTGGTTTGGAACGGCGGTGTTTCGGAATGGAGGGCTGTCTCCTGTTGGAACATTGTGCGCACACAGCCCTTCACCACCTGGATCCTAAAATAAACACCTGTTTTATTACATAATCATGCTTCCGTGTTGCGCTATTCATTAAGATCCTATTTCTGTCATTCAAATAACAAGAATTGTGGTTTAATACTCTTAATTATAACAGCCAACTTATTGAAAAATGACGGGTTTAAATCATAATTAAAATCCCGTTATAATTAAAATCCTGTCCCAGACATAATGTGCACGGGCTCGGGCCGGGTCGGGCTGGATTTTTTGGGCCCGATCTAAGCTCTATTAGCCGCTCTCGTTTCCCCTGAGCTGCCTCAAGAAGTGCCTGCTCTCGCCCTGCAGCTACGCGGAGTCCCTCCTGATCAAAACGCCGCTCCACCTCTGTGCGCAGCAGGTCCAGGGCCTCTGTAGCCTATGTTGTCAGGCAGGCTGCATATCACATCAAAAGCATTGATCTATGCATTCATGATATGAAAGAGATAAATGTAAGTCAGACAAATTGAGTTTAAATTCAGATTCTTTATTTTTTGTTTTATGTTTGTGTACTACGGAGCCGCGGAGGGGCATTGAGAAAAAAAT